TTTTTCCATTTTGGCTAGATTTTGACCCTTAAACAACGGCGGTTTTATTCCAAAAAATCGAAAATTCATTTTTTTCTCGTTTTTGCTAAGGGTTCACCACTCAAGTCTTAAGTAGACAGATTTGTTCTGCACAGTTTCCCTTGCAAGGCAGCTTATTTCGCTTTTCCGCGCTTTTCCACATTTGATGCTATTCATTTTGTGTTACTTTTTATTTATTAATTTTTTTTTTTTTTTGCGCATGTTCGCAAAGGAAGCTACACATATAAGCGGAAGAAATTTCCTCCCCCTTTGGCAAATTAAACATTTACTAACCGCGTTGTAAGAAAGAATTCGTTTTAAGAGGTCCTTAGTGAAAAGTGGCGCATTTTCGTTGGCCAAGAAATGAGACTGCGTGGCTGGTTATGTAGACACCAATGGGTATAGATTACACATATTGCTTCTTCCTTTTTTTTTTTTTTTTTTACGCAGAAATCCCGCTTCTGATCATTCCTGAACGGAAAAGGCATTTAAAATAAATTTTGCCATGTGGTAAAAAAGAAAAAAAAAAGAAGGATGAAATGTTCAACCGGCCTTAATTGTCAGGCACATTCTGCAGTATCGTCACCCTGAGTTGGAAAAATAAATTCTTGTGGGAAGATATTTTTAAAGAAAAATGAAATCATTTTTTTTTTTCTTTTTCTTTTGCGCTGCTTTAACTGCAATTTTGATGCAGGACAACTCGGTGGCCACTTCGTTGTGCAAGGACAAACAGAATTTTCTTCCTCCGTTATTTTGTTTTGAACAAATGTGTTTTATGTGTTCCTGATGGTTTTAACGCGCAATTGCGTGGCAAACAAAAAGGAGGCTTCCTTGTATATGTGCATAACGCATATACAATACACCTACATGTGTTCTAACCATAACTGTGCAACTGCCTTATTAAACCCTTAACAACTGTTCGCCTGCACCTTGGAATAACAAAATAAACGAGGTCCTATCCCCCAAAGGCTTTTATATGGAGAAAATGTGCGGCCTGAATGAAATCGTCCCTTTGCATTGACACGAAAGCCCTTTTTTTTGCATAACGGTAATCGCATTGTCTGATCTGAAAAAAAAGGAAAAAAAAATGATGCAGGTGTTTTAACGAAGGGGAAGAAAGCTCCTTTGTAGACGGGGCATCGCCGTGCTCAAAGTGTACAGTTACACTTTTTGCAAAAATAGGGGTAAAATGAATGAGGAGGTAGTTACATAAAAGTAGAATTAATTTTAAGCATTTACCAGTGTAACAAAAAGGGGAAGGAAATACTGCTTACGGCGTTGCCAAAAAGGAAAAAAAAAAAAAAAAAGAAATCCAAAGGTTATGCAGTTTCCTTATTGTTGTAAAGATAAGCTGCAACTGCGCATGACCAAACTGTTTAGCAGATGGTGAAATGCATTTTATTTCCCAACAAATTAAGTTTTTCACCATTTCAAAATTAGGGAAAATTTTCTTACGTGATGACGTGCTATCACTATGTTAGCATTTGAGTAGTCTTCCTTAAACTAAAGTTTTTTTTTTTTTTTCTTGTTTTTTGCTAATTCGTGCCTAGTATACCGCAACATTAGACACTTCTGCATTACATTGGGTTTGTTTTTTAACAAGTATGAGAAGATGGTGCTCGAATTTTTCGAATAATGAAATAATTTGTTTGTGTCAAAGTGTTAGGCGGTGGAACATTACCTACTTTTGCACTGCGCAGAAATTGTGAGGAAAAAAAAAATAACGTCCTTTTATCATTCTATGTAAAGCTCCTTTTCTGGAGTTGCACGCGCTGTCATATTGCCTCCCAGATTGCTACTTGGGGAAAATTTCTCAATAAATGCGAAAAATACACATACGTACGTATATATATAGATGTCTGTACACACCCATGCGTGCGCATAAATTGGCACGCTTAAGATAAGCTAACCGTCACTCAGCGCGCCAAATATTTGGAAAGGAGGTGCAAAAGTGAAAACAGTAGAAGCCAGATTAGTTCTACCAGAGTGACAAGTTGCCACAGGAGGGTAGAGAAAAGTTGCACAAAAAAGTAGAAAAAAGATATATATATATCTATATATATTATAAATATTTACCCCAACTCGTTTTCACCAAATGGTAAATTGCGTTATCCCCCGACTAAGGAGAGCTTGCTGTTTTCCGAGACAGAACTGCTTCCCCAATTTGAAATGTAACAGCTCAAAGCAAGCCCACAGGGGTGACAAGCATGTAGCGCAATACGATTCGCTGAATATGCACCCTGGATTGTACAACAACTGGGAAAATTACCTAGGGGAAGTGATCCCCATTTTAGGCTCCTCCGTTGAAGTTAACAGAAGAGGGAAATTGAAAGTGTCGCATCGGGGGAGAAGTAAGGTTGTCAGTTGCGCGAGAGAGGAGAATGACGGGGTTACGAGGCGGAGAAGTGGAGGGATGTGTATTGGAAGGTTCTCCCGAGGAAGAGCTAAAAACGGGGCAGCAAAAGGGGCCCAGAAGAGTTTGCGCAAGGGTGGGGGGAAAGAAGGTGGAAATTTTCTAGACCGAGCCGCTGCAGGAAGGGACAGCCAATCGATGGGCCAAAGGAAAGGGACGCACAGAACCAGCGTCCCCTCAACTGCGAAAGGATTAGAACAAATGAAAAACGCATATTGTAGTGCTGTCGAGAGAAATGACCACAAACTGTACGTACATAAGGAAGAGGTTGAAAATGAACGAAACAGAAACTTATCAGTGGAGACCAATATAAACAGCAACATGTACAGACGTAAAAGTAGTGGAGATGGAGACGTAGAACGCGACGGGAGAAAATCGAGTAGCGTTGCTAATGACTCACGTAGTTACACTCAGCGCAGAGAAAGAGAATACGAAGAGGAAAAAAAGAAACAGGAAGAGTATATAAAAAAAATTAACCTCAACGATGCAAAGAAAAATATGTTAACTAAAGGGATACACTCGCAAAATGGGAAAGGAAAAATTTCTTCCATGTCTGCAAAAAGTAGACACATACAAGAGGAAGGAAATTATGATTTTCTAATTAACTCAAATGTTGTGAAGAAACCCGAGGTAGGAGCTAGTAAAAGAGTCGATGAAGTGTCAAATAATATTTTTCTGAGGGGGAACATATATAAAATTGGAAACAGAAGCGAAACTAGAGAAGGAAGACAAACTAAAAAGAACAAACATGGGGAGCCTCAGATAGACAAAAGGAAAACCCCTAATTGCAGAGTGAAGAAGAGAAAAAAAACAGCAAGTGGGGAACCGAGCCGTCCAGAACCATTTATCGGGGGTACTCAAAGAGGAAGCCAACAGCGAGATATGCACTACCAGACCTCCTCAGGGGAAAGTTCCTTGTATGAAATCTCTATATCGGGAGAAGTGGACATCAACTTTGACTCAGACTCGTGTGTGGGGGATACCAAGTCAACGAGGAGTGGGCATAGCGCGAGTGGATCCAAGAGGGAGGCAAAGAGGGAAACTAAGAGGGAATATAAGGGGGAAGCTAGGAGGGAGACTGGTCCCGAATCGGTTCTTTCGAAGAAGGGGACAAATCGGGAGGGGGGGACGACCATTGAGAACAGCGAGGGAATCACCACTCGTGAGAAACGCGCAAACCAGGGCAAATGTTCCCATTTATCGGGGATAAATGGCATCCAAATGAGGGGAAATAAAAACACAAATGCCTGTGAAAAAGGAAAGATCCTTCTCAATTTGAAGAATATGCCACCAAGGAAGAGGGAAAACACTGGACGCTTGCCATTCGGGGTAGAGCCAATTGGAGGGTTCGCACACAAAGTAATGAACAGGAATAGCGAACGAACTACTGGTACTGCGTGCTGTGAGAAAAATTGTGAACCAGTTCAGGAGATGAGCAATGTCAGTGACGGTCGCGGTGGCGGCGACACTTCGAGGAGTCTCGTCGGACGAAGCGGGCAGAGAGGAGCGGCGTCCCCCCTGGGGGGAGAAATACGCAGCGATGTAGAAGAAAAACGCAGTGGAGTGGAAGACAAATGGAAAGACAGCTTCAGAAAAAACAAACCCACTGCAAAGATGGAAGAGAAAAGGGAAAAGAAGAAAAAAAGTTCCTTTTTAACGACAGAGGACAATGCCACACATAGGACCCACTTACACGAAGCGAGCAGCAGAAATAGCGGAAGGGAAACCACCATCTCGAACAAACGAAGAAGTAGCGACATTAGGAGAAAAGAATTCGTGGAGGGGTTAGGCGACTGTTCCTCAGATTATGATCTGAAAAAGTGCACTTCAGTTTTGGAGTATCTGCTAAAATTGATTAAAAAGGAGAAGGTGGAAATGGAATCTTGCGCAAGCTGTAACGAGCTTAATCAATTTCATTTGAAAAAAAAAGGGGATTGGATAAATCAAGGGGGGGGCGAAGAAAGAGCGACCCAAAGTTATAACGTGCATATAGTAGGGGGAAAGTATGAAAAGGAAAGGAGGAACCAACTGTACAGTCAATTGCTACACCTGGAACCGGAATTAGAGGACAGCACAGGTACAAAGCTCAGCTTACGAGTGACCACAGAAAGCAATGAAGAAAGAGGAAATTACAATTTTGTCTACCCGAGTAGTCACAAATCTGGTTCGAACATCTCGACTGGAAATAAATTCACCAAAAGGGGAAAAAAAAAGGACTCTTCCAAAGGGGTAAGAAGTCGAACTGTTCCAAAAAAAGACGTGTCCAAGGGGGGCGCAATACAGGGGAAGAAAGAAAGGAACGCATCCACGTGTTACTCAGAGGAGGCAGAAATGAAGGTGAAGACACAGATGGACGCAGAAATGGCAACCTTAACCAAGTTGATAAATTTAAAAAGCGAACAAAACGAGAAGCTAAAAATGTGTTTGATGATGCAGGAGAGTGAAATTAATTTGCTGCGTAAAAAGGCGCAAGAGGCACATGCAAGCAAAAAACAAGGGAAGGAAAAAAATTGGGAAAATACCACTTTTTACAAAAATTTAATAAAGGCTAAACCCTCCACATTTATGGAGATCATTCTAAGTAACAATCAAGACGTTGGAAACGGCACGCAGATGAAGGAGACATACGAGTCAAGCGTGCGGGCGGAAAAGTGTAACTTTGCCAAATCCTTTAATTCTTGCTTATGTACCATCTGTGCTGTTCCAGGAGGAAGAGAAAATGGTTCTTTTCGCTTAAATGATCGCAGCCAATGTGGGGCACCCTGTGGAGGGGCAAATGCCCCAATACCCGATGTCGAAACGAATTTCCCTACAGCCGCCGTCCAAACAGACGAATTTTCCCCTTTGGAATCTAATTTAAAATATGGGGAGAATCCATATCTACAAAGTTGCACATTCAGTGGAGTGCCGACGGGGGGGATATGCTCCTACACGTGCTGCATGCCTAGTGGAAATTTCAAAGATCTGGTAATCGAGGATGCAACAAGCGACGAGTCCTGTTCGGATCAGCGGCACGTTTCTTGTTGTCCGCCAGGGGGACCAGCGCAAAATGATGTCGCAGGAAGGGACAAGACGAGGGGGTCCAGCCTGCACTCAAACGGTTATCCATCCAAGGGGGTAAGCGGTATGGTAGGGAGTAGAAACAAGAAAGACATAGTACCCAAGCCTAAGGCAAACGCAAAGAAAAGGCTAATAAAAATAAACGGAAAGGGAAAGTTCCAAACGAGAGAGAAGAAATATAACGCAGTTGCGATGGGGGGTGAAGAGCCCTCGCGATGTGCGAGTCGGGGAAATTTCGGAACCGCGAACTATGCTCAGTTGAACGGAAAAAAGGGTGAGACACAACATGGGGGGTACTCAAGACAGAGGCAAAATACGAGCAGGACGAATAGCTACAAAGTGGAGGCTAAATACCCTGTTACATCGAGCACCATAAGTGTTAGGTGCCTGCCTAAGAGAAAAACGGCTGTAGCCGGATCGGATAGAAAAAGCTGCTTTCTTTCTTCCAGGAATGCCAACGTGGCAAAAGAAGGGGATTATCAACCCAAGAAGGAGAGCCTTTTCACGAAGGTATTTTCCTACATAAGGAATAACAGCTTCTGTAACGAAAAAAAAAATAACAACTGTGTGAGGAGAAATAAATCGACTAGCTCTATCGTATTCGTTAAAAATCAGGATTTGTCTGATCGGACGTATGAGAGATCTCGGTCCTCCGGATGTTTGCCTGACAGAACTGTCTCCACTGTTCACAAAATGAATTGTATTAACACCCCGTACGTTGGTGCCATCCCTGTGTGTGGAAATATGTGTGGAAATATGTCTGGAGGAGGGGGTAACCTGATGACGGACGAGCAAAAAAAAATAATCAGGTCAGGGAAACAAAGTCAATATGGACTGAATAACACACATGGAGGTAGGTACCACTCGAATGATGGCATTGTGACGAACCGCATTTGCAATGACGAGGTGAACAAAACAGTTGTGGAAAAGGGCGTGATAAGAAGCGGCTGTAGATATGTGCTAAAGGGATATGGTGGAACTGCACTGGGACCTGATTCCCATCGTGAAATTTTTAAAAATAAGGGGAAAGGACAACTTGTTAATGATTTGCATACCAAGGGAAAGGATCCATCGTTCTCCAATAACATGGAGCTTCAAAAGGGGCGAAACAACAACCGGGTGATGACTTGCGAAGAATTAAGCGGAATGGAACGCCCCATAATACATAACGAAATGGCAATTAGTAGTGACATCATCGAGAAGGCAAGACTGAAATATTATGCGTCGAAGAGGTGCGCAAAGTGCACAGACGAGACAGGCGCGGGGAAGCAGGAGAATAAAATAAATCCACCTGTTTCCTTCCACAAGGTGGGTAGTAATAGCGGAAAGAAGGCAAAGAGACACGGGGGAGCCACAAAATTGGGGAGAGAGATCGAAACCAACCTGAACAAGCGTGCACATCCCACAAAAAGGGGTAATAACGGGAGGGGAGAAATGAAAAATTTCGGAAAAAACCCTTCCAAGGGGCACCCAAATCGGTGGCCTAACGGTAACAAAAAAAGTAACAAAGCTGAAGTTCTTAAAAAAGAAGACCATTCAGATGGATCAGCTTCTTCGGATGGTTCGGTTGCTTCGTCTGCTTCGGCTGGTTCAGGCGACTCACCAAACAACAGCCATAAATTATGGGAAAATAACAAATCAAAGAAGGCAAGTGAGACTTACAAAATTTTCGTTCTGAAAAAGGGGAACGGAGATAACTGCGCTGTAAAAAGGGAGCAAGGCATCCATTTAAGGGGGCACAATGGTGAGGGCCCCAAGAAAGGTCTTCAAAACGTAGCACGTACAAATGGAGAAGCAAACAAAAACAACGTTAACTATCGGGAGAATGATCGCTCCGTTAGTGCCGACAAAAGGAATTACTATACAAATGTGGAGACTACCTCTGACAGTGTCCAAACGAACACCATGGATGGTTACTCCACTTGCTCCAGTGAGGACATATACTTGTGGGAAAGAAAAAAAAACAGAAAAGCGCGAAAAAAGGCCCTTAATGCTGAAGGTATAAGGCGGGGTAAACTGAATGAACAAATCGGAGGGGGGGTTAATGCACAGGTGGTGAATTCAAACGGAAAGTTGGCAAGTTCAGTGGCGCATGTAATTGAAAAAATAATTCTGAATTATAAGAATTGGGATATGGGAGGGACAAAAAAGGGGATCGGCGCTGCCAGTCACAGCGATGACAGTGATAGTGACAACAGCGGCTACAATGATAATGGCAGCAATTACCACGACGACAAACGGAGTGGAGAAGCTGGCACCAACTGTATCAAGCAAAGTGACCTGCCTGACGCACACACTTGCAAAAAAAAAAAAAAAAAAACTAGCCATTTTGAACTAAATGGGGAAAGAGTAAAGGAGCAAACGATAAGCTTAAAAAAACCAGGCAGTGCGTACACCGCCTTGGGAAGACAGTGTACAAATGAAGATTCACATGTGAATACAAATGCACAGGTAAAGAAAAAAAAAAGCCAAGATGTTAACAATGTGTTGTGTTCAAGTAGCCAATCAAGTTATCCTGAGCCAAAAATATTTTTCCTCAAAAATGATGAGTCTTGCATAATTGTGGAGTATCCCAACGTCAAATATCTTGTCAAATGCTCTTAAAGAAAAAACAAAATAGGCGTCACGTCGCTTGGTTTTCGCTTCCCGATAGCATGTTTGGAATGCCTATTGGGAGGAGGGAGGGTTATGGCGATGAGTGTCTAGGTGCATAAATACACAAATATAAGTGTAGAGTCCGCATCGGGCGTATTGCGAGTTGGTCCGTCATCTTAAAAAGGCCAAGGGTCGCATACCATCCTTTATCGGAAAAGAGGCATTGCATTTGGGACATATTAACGTGGCTTCCATTATTTGCACCTACAAAATGATAGTGGGTTGAAATTTTTTTTTTGTTTTGCCTCTGTGCCGTTTTGCCGCTTCGCCGCTTTACACATTTTGACGTAATCACATTGCTTATTCCTTCTCATGCGCAATGTTAAGACCGCTTTTCTCTCCCATGCGGGTACCTTAAAAAGGGCATGGTGAACTGAGTTCAGGAATTCTTCATCCTCAAGGTGATGGTTAGTGTAGCTAGCTAGCAAATTTATCCCCAGCTAAAAGGGAATGGAGGAAACAAACGATTGTGAAATTGCGGCACTTTGAAATTTCAACACTGTGAAATCGCAACATCGTAACATTATAACTGGGCACTTTTTGCGTCTAGGGTGCGCATGGTGCGACAAAAATGAAAAAGGCACGGGATGGAAAAAAGAAAAAATAAAAAAAAAGCAAGTGCAATAAGAGACAAGTACCTGTTTGGCCGTTTGACACAGAACGTCATAGTCCACTTTGGTTAAAACATTTTTTACAAACTCTACATTAATTTCTTGTTCTAGTATTTTCATATTTTCTTCCGCGTCACCGTTCAGTTGCACTGAAAGCGGGTATCCCCCATCACACTGTGCCTCGTTGCTGAAAGGGGGGAACAAGCGTATAAGTGGTGCGCCAATGCGTTAGACGGTCCTTATGTGCACATAAGGCACGTCCAGAGGTATATAATATACATACATATATAGACATATCTATGCACATACGAATATGTACAATCATTTGGCCACGCATATGTGTACGTATAAATAGGCATGCGACAGCAAACCACTCTTGCATATGCGCACATAAATATACATTACGTGCAAACATATATATATGAATATATAAGTAGATATATGCAAATATGTACAAGACGCAAATATATATAAACATGTACATATGCATCATATATACACCCTTGCGGACGCTTTATGGGGATGCCTCCACACGCAACATCTCCATACAATACATGTATACACCCCTGAACCGCCAAGCGCACACTCCCGAAAATTTCTGTTTCTCAAACGTACCATTTTAAAAAGTTATGGGTAAGAAGTCTCATCCTGTCCTTGCATATCAGAAGTTAGGAGAAAGATTCGGG